TGACCAAGGTCGTTGTCCTCCTCTCCACTTTCTCTCCAGATCTTTTTAACTAAGTTTCTGTCGCACCACACCTATCCTGCCCCTAAGATTCCTCACGTGGCTCTCCTCACTGCCATGCAGACTGACCCAGCAGCCGGGTCTCCTCTCCCTGCACTGCCTCGCCAAGCCCTCTGATCTCCTCCATTTGCCTTTCTAATAAACAAATTTGGGCAAATCATGCCCATGAATTAAACTGCCAGGCCTCTCTAATCACCCAAGGAATACAGCTCAAGTATCTCGGTGTTTTGTCCGAGGACTTCATCAGCTCCCCAGCCTCATCTACTCCCCCCAGGCCTTCCACTGGCCTCTTCGCCATGAAATTCCAGCCACTCTGCTGCTTTCGGATCATCGTTCCAATCTCTCTGGCTTTACAGTCAGTGTATCTTCTGCCTGAAACACCCCTCCCCCACTCTCAGCTTCCCCAAATCCTTCTCTTCCTCAGCGCAGGGGACTCAGAGCTTTGGTAGCCCCAGCAGACATGGCAGCCCCACCCTTTGGACTTCCATCACCCTTTGTTCTCGTGGCTGGCCCTGCACAGCGTCCTCCTCCTGTATTGTAACTGGTCATTTGTGTTGTCAGACTCCCCAGCAAGGCTGATGTCAGTTCCCTGAAAGCTGCAAAGCCCTTGTAGTTATCTTTGTGTTCACCCAGTAGGTCACTCACCCGGAAGTCCCCATTGAATGACAGAATGAATGTTTGCCTTTATTTCTCAGGACATTGTTATGAAACTCAAGTGAGGGTATTTTTGAAAGAACAGTATGAACTATGAATGTGAGAACCCTAAGTCTCCCAGACTGTCCCTCTGGACTCAAATAACACCATTTCCCAGTGAAGGAAGGAGATGCTTCACTTCCAGGAAGTTTGACTTCCTCTTAATTAACCAAGACATGGAGTGGAACCAACAAGAGCCAAACGGTGTTTGGCTGCCTGTTGTTCTGCATTCTTCTCAAGCAAATGATGTTAAAATGTACTTTCAAGAATAAATTCGAATGGACTATCACAGAAGTACATGAAAAATATAAACATTTTTAACAGGTATAGAAAATATAATTGGAATCCTACAGATTTTAGAGCATATTTTAGACAAGTTTGGAGCCCGTTTACAGGGTTATAACAGCAAGAGGGACGGATGTGCTACATGAATTGAGTTCATGCAACGAGCATAGGGCTGCTCAGGAGCTTGAACTGCAGGAAGGCTAAGTAAAGATTCGGGAGGCTTAAACTGCAGAGCTAGCATGGATATGGATCTCCTCAGCAAAATATTACCAAAGGGTTTAGGTAGATAAAAATACAGGAAACCTAAATATTGCAAGAAGCATACTTAGACTAAACAATTCTTTGTGGCTTATCTGCAATTCAAATTTAACTGGACATCCTATACATTATCTGGCAAACTAAGCTATAACCGAAATTACTTTAATGGTTCTGGTTCTAGGGTGTTTTGGAGAAAGAATTAGAATAAGCTTTCTTACTGTGAAAAACCAGAACATTCTAAGGCCACAATGAAACTGTGGTAGATTGGAAGGTGGTAGATTGCCATCTAGTGGACCGATCATGACAAGCGAAAGCTTACAGTGGAGTGAGAGATTTTTCTTGTGGAGTCTGCAAGGGAGGACTGTGCTCCGGCCAACTGCGAAGCCCTGAGGGTGCATTGTTAAGAGGGCCATGACCCCCAGAGAGTGGAGGCTGGGATGGGGTGAGGTAGAGATGCTGTAGTGTGCTTGCCCTGTGATCCAAGGCGAGAAGTGGCCTGCCTGATCAC